CTTTCAATTTAGTTCAGCCTTAAGTGAGCAATCGTTGGAGTAAGGGCAGCGACAAGAGCTAAATTGTGAAAAACCCCTCTCGGCAGAACACACCTACGCAATTAATTGCTCTCCCAACCCTATTGTGGACGCCGACCGTAACAAAATATCAATAAAAAAATTTTCCGCAGAAGGTTATTTACAAACAGTAAAAATCCCTCTTAAAATCTGATAATCACTTTGGGTATATTTTAATCAGGGTTATTAATTTAGAAATACAAGTCCCGGGTACTCGTGACCTTGCAATGATGTTCTACTATAATAGTAAATAAACCTGGTTATTATAGTAATGTAAACACTGCAAATGTAGATGTCTTGGGGTTTTCCGATTTAAAAATACAATGCTTTTTGCTATTTAGCATATGAGAAGTTTTTAGTGCGTTCAGCTTTATTATTATATATTTAGTGGATATCTATGACTTATGTCGTTTTGTGGTTTTTTTCTACCATGACGCGCGCGACATGCATGTTGGCAAACAGCCTGTAACAATAATCACTCTTTCATTTCTTTCAATCTCATGTCGGAAATGATTATTTTAATCGTGCTCCTTCCATTGGAATCATTTTTTACTGTAAACAAAGTGGTGCTCAGAAGGAAAGGACACAAGATCTTGTTTATAGCTATAGCAAGGCAACTAAAATTTTTTATTGGAATAAAAAATTAACGTAGTGGGGGCTTACCATTACTGGGCCGTTGCCATTCATAATTCAGGCTATTTGCTGAGTCACAACATCAGTACTGCCACAGGTAGCTTACTCGGGTTGCTTGTTGTTCAAGGTTGCTGGCTAACAAATTAGTACTGTTATATGTAGCTTACTTGGTGCCCTGTTGTTCTAGGCTACTACTATTGGCCCATACTGATCCCAATGGAGCACAGGTGGTTTACTGGGTTGTCTGTTGTTCTAGGATACTTATTATTATTATTACACTGGCTCAGTACTGATCTCAATGGTAATGGAGCACAAGTGGCTTACTTATTACTGGGTTGTCTGTTGTTCAAGGTTACTTAATACTGGCTAATCTGGTGGAGTATAGATTATAAATTGTAGTTGAAAATATTTTTATTTTCCAAATATTTCATACTAGGGTTATGATCAGAAAATTTTTAAAGACTGGGATAAATAGCATGAACATGGAACTTTTACACCTGGTTACAAAAGAAAGTGATTAGAAAGAGGTACATATATAAATATGTAATATTATTTAACAGTTAATATTAACACAAAGCTGACTCTACTATGGCGAGTAAATTATATAATAATCTGTTGTTCATCATGTTTTCTCTGTAGGACTGCAGTCAAAAGCACTATCTAGATGTTGAAATTGAAAAAAGTCAGAAGAAGATAGTTACATAATATTAATATGATTGCTTGTAGTAGTAGAATCTGATCTAATAAAAGCCCAACACTTAATGTTTTCTTCAACATTGTAACAGCAGTGAGCAAATGTTATTACAAAAACAACAGAAATTGAAAATGAGCAATTACATAGTATTAGCAGGATCTACTCGCCAAACAAAAGAATCAACTTTAGTTTCTGAAACAAATGCTGTTAAAAGCAGGGTTGGATCAAATTTCACATCATATGTTTTCTTTGATAATTATGTCAATCTTGCTAATTCCATGGAAACCAATCTTGTTATTAGTATTAGTATTAGTATTCAACATTTTGCCAAGAATGTTGCAGACGTTGTTTACTATGTAAAACATTTTTGATTCATGGTGTAAGTCTGTTTTCATTGACCTGAAATTTATAGTAACAAACTATTATTAATTACTGACAGTTTATTTTTATTCAAAAAAATCTTGTAGCACGGGTTGGAAGAATCATAAAAAAAAGCCAAGGCATCAACATACTGTAAATTACTTCAAAAGCTTTCACCAAAATTCATAAAATTAACTCAATTAAAAACACCACAGAAATAGTCAATTATAATCAGCTTAATATTATGAGTTTATAACAGATAATTATGAAATATTAAATAAAAATTGATCATCATGTTGTCGGGCCAATATACCAGGGAGTATTAGTAACATGCGAGACCAATGATCACAGAAATTCGCGTTTGTTGCAATTAACGAATCGTATGCTATAAAAACAAACCACGTTGAATAGACACACGAAACGCAATAATAATGTTGTAAAAAGTAAAACTTGAGCAAAATCCAATACAATAAACGTTTATCCAAGGATCTTGTTAAATGGCAATAGATTATCGACCAACATTTATTTATATTTAGAGACAAATTAATTAAAACTGTAACTCCAGAAAGTTATTAAGAATAAAAATAAATTTATTTGCCAGTTATTGAAACGGGAATCTTAGACAATTATACGATAGAAAACCGAAATCTGATCCAAAATTTTTATTTAACAAATGGTGTTTGATTTCATAAGTTACTTCTGCAAAGAAAAGATTACCGCTGCTTTACAATACGAAATTTTTACGTACGGAGAACAAACCCAAGGAATATTACCATTAAGACAATTCAAAGTTGGAGTGACAAAGAGAAAAAGGAAATTGTATACTTTGAATATGACAATATAATTATTAATAGCGCTCAAAGCTCAACGGATGTGCTTAAGCAGTCTTTATCAAGACTATAAGAATCGATCTCTCATTATTAAATTGCTCGATCAGTGGAGGTGTTGGTGAAAAGCATTTACGTTAAATTGCTTAGAAATTACGGTTTGTTTTTTAATTTATTGTTTATTCTTATTTTTTGATAAAGATTGTAAGTAAAATTTTCTTTGTCGCATCCGATAGTCTGAAAATATTAAGTGCGCAATTTTTTCACTTGTTCTGTTTTTAGAATGCTTCTAATTGCGCTGTAACTTTTTAGTGATTATTTTTATGTATTTTATTTTGTACAAAGATAGGTTTATATCAATATATTACTGTTAACGATAAATTGTTTATTTCACCAAGTTTACATTCCGACATCATATTAAAAAGGCAACTGGATTTTAGTCTATAAATTCAGACATGAGCCCACTACACCACATCAGCAATTTTTAGTCAAAAGTTCACTTGTTGCAGTTTGCCCCAAATATGTTCTTCATAATGCAGCAAGCGTTTTATTTCGAGCATATGCTATTTACGTTTTTTATTAGTGTTGGCGGCATACATTAACATAAGTGTTTTTTTCTGAATTAGTCGACAAAGACTTAGCCGTGCATGTTTTTGCCACGAAATTTCTATTTTTAGTTTTATATATGTTACAGGCAAAGTAGTTATATCGTACAAAAAGTAGACATGCTTATGCACTATTTTATTAGACGCGTATTTGCAAAAAGATGGCGTCATGAACTTCATTTTATTTTGACTTTTTTCGCCCATTAAGAATATCCGGTCTAAATTGTGAAAAACTCACGTCCGTTATTATAAATAGTATTGCATCAAACTATAATTTATTATTAAATTTTAAATTTAAAATTTTATTACTAACAAGCTTTGAAATATAATAAGGAATCGATATTACGCATAAGCTTTTTTTGAAGATATAAATAAATCCTTGCCTTGCTTGTGATGATACCACACTCCAGACCTGCATGACTATGTCGGCGGAGACACAAAAGTCGGAGAATAGCGATTCGCAAGCAAGTCTTTAAGGGCCAAATTAGTAACATTGATTGCATTATTCTAAAGCTTGATTTGCGTGATTTACGGTTTAGTATGATCTTTCACTCTATTTCTATTACAGACTAGATCACAAGGATAATGCTTCCGTGTGAATTTTCAACTTCCAGAATACTTCCTCTTTCGTTAGACGATGGCGTATTCCATAATGTTACACCAAGTTAGTAAACAATAATTAAAAGAACGGGCGTATGATTTGTTTCACAAACTAAACCTACTTTTCTAATGATTGGCCAACATCTCATCTACGCCCAACGTACTTATGTCACCCCAACAAATACAATCTATCTCATTTATAACCCGACAGTCTCAACCGTTCCCATTTCCAACCTTGTTCTCCTACAATGACGGCCCTGAGGAGTATCGTTTTCCTACTCATACTAACTTGCGTCTTGACTAATGCTAATGTCATAGACAAAAGTAAAGTACTTATCGACGAAGCGGTTTCCTATCTCAGTGACGCCTTTTCATCCTCTTCCCCTATAATTCAAGCGGAAACAATTACCGACTGCGGAAGGACATCTGATATTCTCCAGATACACTATATAGAGTTACACCCAGATCCTCCACAGAAGGGAAAAGAACTGACAATTGATGCTGCTGGTTTTTTGAGCGAGACTGTGGACAAGGGAAGCTACGTTGACGTTGTGGTAAAGCTTGGATTGATTAGGCTGTTGCAAAAACGATATGATTTGTGCGATGAGGTAACCCAAGTTGGCAAGGAGTGTCCTCTTGATGGATATCAGACCTTACATCATACGTTAGACTTGCCGAAAGAGATCCCTCCGGTATGTATAAAATAAATTGCTATCGGTCGCGCGCGACGCTGGGAATCTAGTATCTCGGTCAGCCCTTCATCACCCTCCTGTTTACGAGATTGATATTAATCGCTTGATTTTTTCTGATATAATAGGGTAGGTATAGCGTCGATGTCAACGCATTCACGCCCGATCATCGAAAAATTGGTTGCTTGAAAGTAATGGTTACGTTCCGTCCTTGATTGACGGTGGGACGCTTATAAAGATGGGGGGTCATTGCTGACATGACTTTCGATAGTTACCAAATTTATTGTGATACAAATGTTGATGTGTTGGATTTATTACGTAATAAATTCAGGTATTCTACTAACCTTGTTAATGCTAATTATGCATGTATTTGCGACGGGCTGCTTTGCTTACGTACGTATTATCAAACCAAGACGAGCATTTTGAATGGGGCAAATTGCAAAACTTTTGAACGTTACGCAAGACTGAGCATCGCGACCTTAACGATTCCCATAATAAAAGAATTTTTTAAAAAAAAACCAACTTCATGCACGCAGACAATCACCCCCACACGAAACAAAGATGTTTCGGATTTATGTGATGATATCTCGAATTGAGAAAACTCGCTTCTAGTTGCATGGCAATATAGCTCATGAGAAGGATTTTCACAAAGGATTATTTTTAACAAATAAAGTTCAATTTTAACATTCGATTAACTGTGTAATTAACTAGAAATCAAGCAGCCATTTACGATAATAAATACACTTTCGGGGAGTTATCAAACCGTCATCCGTGCAATCGTTAAACACCTATATAGCATCAGCTCCCAAAAGTTAGAAAGCCAGACTTGACGAGAGTATGATTCATCGAGCGTACTCACCGGACATTTTCCACATGGTGTATCGGTCCACGGGTTACCACCACCTCGTCTATCCTTCACAGCTTTGTATACGATTTCGGGTTCATCATCGTCGACATCGTTCAACTCCATCGCGGTTGCTCCCGAGTCGGATATCCTTCGTTCAATCTTACCATCAAATATTAGTAGATCAAGGAGACTGTTGATATGATCGAGCGAGAGGTCAACTGTGGTCAGTTTGCTTTCTTCAATAAAGCGGTGAATTTGAACCGCACTTACAAAACCACCACGAGAAGCTGGGAAGACTGTGTAAGCATCTTTTCGAGGAAAGCTCTAGCAGGTTGTGGTAAATGAGGGAAGAGACATTAATTCAAAAATTGACAATGCAATCCGATATGAGATTAATATAATAGCCTACAAGTGAAAGCATGTCGCCGTAGCATTACCTACCCTTGAGTATATAAACTTGTGTATGGCTTTTGTGAGCGTCTCGACAAAGTCTGTATCCAACTCTTGATCAGTGAACCACGGACCACCCGACACTTCTGCTGAAGGTGTTAATTCATAGAGCATATATATCTTACGAGTTGGTGCCTATACAATGATCGATAAATTCAGTTGTCATTGCACATCTGACATTTCTCTAATTATGGTTTTGTGTTTGTGTCTGGCTCACCTTTACTGATTTAATAGCTTTTATAAGTTGCTTCGATTCAAGATTCTTTAGACTTCGCGTTATGACTGTCTGATGAAGGTTTGTCTTGGTCTTTAAATTGCGTGTCCATATTCCTAAACACAATATAAATGCGTGATGAACATGTAACCGACTTGTAGACTTAACAATATATGGCCCTTACATACCTTCATTTCCAGCTGCTTTGATTGTATTATATACTAATCTATCATCTTCATCTAAATCATTTATCCTAAGCTT